TGCCATGGGTACTAAAATGGCCCCCAATTATGCTAATGCCTTCATGCTTCCCTCGAGGAGAAACTTATCAACAGTTTTCATCTCAAACCCATGTATTATGTCAGATACATTGACGACATTTTTTTTATATGGAACCATGGCATTGATGCGCTTGAGCTTTTCAAAACTCATGCGAACACTTTCCATCCCACTATTAAATTCCCGTTTGAACACTCTCAACACACTCTCCCGTTCCTCGATGTCTCTGTCAAGGTTACAGACGGGCAACTCTCGACTTCTTTGTACTGTAAGCCCACCGATCGTCACTGTTATCTTAACTATAACAGCTTTCATCCCCTTAAACTCAAACAATCATTGATATTCAGCCAATGTCCTGTCTCTTATACACATCTAGATGTGTATAAGAGACAGGCATTAACCTTGAAAAGTGTACAAAATATATAATGTCTGGAGATTTTTGTATGATCGGAAATGCAAAAAAAGAAGAAGGGAAGAAAGAGGAGAAGGATGGGAAAGAGAATGTTTATCCAGTACCCAACCGAGTTACATTTTCTCGCAATTTTCATTTGCGGATCTGGGGGAGGGGTCATGGGTCCTGACCCCCTTCCTTGGGCAACAACAAAAGGGGAAAAAAGAATTCTAAAACTATCTTTTCAGGACCCGTGAGCTGATTTTTTTTTTTTTTTTTTTTTTATTATTAGAAAATTAGAATTTTTTTTTTTTTTTTTTTTAGAAAATTAGAATTTTGAAGAACATAAAATTATAATGATATAATTAACAGATATCACAATACCCTGGCCTGGAACCCCTTCTCCACTTCAAAAAGTGTCCATAGCGCATTTGATCTAAGCCGCCAGATATTCTCCGCAGTGGCCTAAGCACCGGGGGACAAGGGGAAAATATCCATCTGTGGAAAATCTTTTCCCATTGAATACCCTTTTCACCCGGGAAAGTGCCTGAAAACCTCAAATTTTAAATCGCATATTTTGTTGAGGTAGGCCAATTTCCTCTAAAAATTGCACATTTTAGGGAGTTTTGATCAATTCCGACGAAATTAGAATTAAAAAAAAAAAAATTTTTCGCGCGCATTTTTTAATGCTAAAGCTTGTGCTTGCTCTCCTTTGCATTCTAAGTTGTAACATATAGTCCCAAACTTGAGAAAGAAAATTTAAGATAGATCGTTTTACCTAAACGAAGGGCCTCAATGTGTAATGATGGTGAAAGAATACGCCTATGATTGTAATAAATAAAACCGCGATGAAAATGCTTATATTTAGTTTCAAACACACGTGTGTGGCCTATATTAATAATAAAATAAGCCCTATGTCGTATTGTTTTTTTATATTGGG